CTCGGTCCATTGGCGGCTACTACAACTCAACAGGGTTGCCGATGGATTGCCGATGGATTGCATCCCTGACCAGTGATCGAACCTTGCCAGAGAGTGAGAGGTGGATTTCTTACTTCTAACTCTTAACCATTGTCATTGTAAAAAAAAAAAAAAAAGAAAAGAAAAAGAAAAGAGAACTAATCAATTCCTTTCCAGAGGTCCAACCACTAGGGTACGTGAGCCTTGGTATACTATAAATGAGTCTACCATAACATAACATAACATAAAAATTAATTAATGTGAATACCATATATATTATTAAAAAATACTTGATACATATAACACATTCCCCTCCTCTTTAAGTTTTTTCTTTAATAAAGAAGATTTCTTCCCTTCTTCATTTTTTATTTCAAAGAAGAGGGGTTAACATTAAAATTGATCCACGATAACCTATTTAGTGATTTGATTGATAAATGATTTGAGCTCCATGCGAGAAACACCGCCTTCCTCAATAGCTTGACGAATAGCTCTTCCTAATTCCTTTGCCCTTTTCCTCATCATTTGCCCTTCCTCTGACGCCATTAACGTCCTTATAGCTTCCTTAATAGCCAACACCGTCACTAATTCTTTTCTACGTGACCATTCCCTTACAACCACACCGATCTTTAGTGTTAAAAAATCAAGGATTCCCAAAAAGAAGAAGATGGAATGAAAAACTGAATCTCACATTAAACTGAAAATAATCCAGCCTTTAAATAGGCTTTACAAAATAATATTATCTAAAAAGATAATTAACCAATCTTATCTAATCTAATTTAAATGATAACAACTTAAAACAAATAAATAACTTAAACTTCCTAAATTATAGAGATAATGGCTAAATAATATGATCTAATTTCCAACAATCCCTCCCTTAAACTGAAAGTCTTCAGACTTTAGTTTAAAGAAACCTGGATAACACCATATCTACAGATATGCAATTTGAAATCTGCAGACCCTCCCTCAAACTGAATTCTGCATGTTGCAAACACCAAGTAACTCTTTCAGTTTTGAAAAAGCTGCTACTTTGAGGGGTTTTGTAAATATTTCAGCCACTTGATCTTTTGTTCTGCAATAAATCAACTCAATTGTTCCATCTTCTACCAAGTTGCGCAAAAAATGATACCTCACATGTATATGCTTGCTTCTCCCATGCAAAACCGGATTTCTAGAAAGCTTGATGGCTGAACTGTTATCACAATAAATTGAAGTGGCCTCATGTTGATTCAGCTCAAGTTCTTCCATAACTCTTCTCAACCAAATAGCTTGACAAGCACAAGAAGTTGCTGCTACATACTCTACTTCTATTGTGGACAAAGTCACAATGGGTTGCTTTTTTGAATACCATGAAATTGTACCAAATCCCAACATAAAAACAAACCCAGAAGTGCTTTTTCTGTCATCCAGATCTCCAGCATAATCACTGTCAGTAAAGCCTACGAGATCTGTCTGGTCACCCTTCTTGTAGAATAGTCCAAAATCTGTAGTTCCACATAAATACCTAAGAATTCTTTTAGCAGTCTGCAAGTGCAACTCCTTTGGATGCTCCATATATCTGCTAATCAAACTTACGCCATGCATTATATCTAGTCTTGTTGCTGTCAGATACATCAGACTTCCAACAATTTGCTTATACAGTTTGTTGTCCACAAATCTGCCTCCTGGATCTTTCACGAGCTTTACACCTTTGTCAACTAGTGTAGTGACAGAATTGCAGTTCTTCATTTGAAATCTATCTAGAACTTCCTGCACATATTTTTTCTGAAAAACAAAAATTCCAAAATCTGACTGTACCACTTCCAGACCAAGAAAATAATGCAACAAACCCAGATTTGTCATATCAAATTCAAGCTTCATGGACTGCTTGAACTTTTCCAACATGCCAAAATCATTCCCAGTATAAATTAAATCATCAACATATAAGCATACTATAATCAGTTTACCTCCATCTCCAAATTTGATGTAAAGTGTATGCTCATAAGGGCACTTTTGAAAACCTTCCTTCAAAAAATAAGCATCAATTCGACTATACCAAGCTCTAGGTGCTTGTTTTAGTCCATATAATGCTTTCTTCAATTTGTACACCTTATGCTCAGAACCAGATTTCACATAACCAGGAGGTTGATCAATAAATACATGTTCTTGCAGATTTCCATGCAAGAAGGCAGATTTCACATCAAGCTGGTAAATCGGCCATGAGTTCTGTGCTGCCAATGCAATCACCAATCTGATGGTATCCATCCTTGCAACTAGAGCAAAAACTTATTGATAATCAATGCCAAACTCTTGCTTGTAACCCTTTGCCACCAAGCGAGCTTTGAATTTGTCAACCGCCTCATTCTCTTTGAGCTTTATCTTGTAGATCCACTTAACACCAATTGTTTTGTGCCCTTTTGGAAGATCTGTCAACTCCCAAGTCTGGTTCCTTTCAATAGAACAATTTCTTCTACCATGGCTTTTTGCCACTTTTCTTCTTTAACAACTTCTTCATATGTCAATGGATCACAATCTACAAATAAAGGAAAATGATTAACTGGAACATCATCTTGAGGTAGATCTGTTACCTCATAATCTTCCAACCATGCTGGTCTTCTTTTTTTGCGTTGAGGTCTGGAACTAGTTCCAGATTCCAGTTCTGGTGTTGTTGGCAGACTTCCTCCAGTATTGAACTCTACTCCTGTAGGCAGACTTTCTTCAGCTCTCTGTCTTGAAACCTCGAGATCTGCTGAAGTTTGACCTTCTGAGTTCTGCACAGTCACATCTTCTCCATTTTCGAAATCTGCAGGAATTTTTTGCCTAGATTTTTCTGTCCAAGACCAAGTGCTTGCTTCATCAAACACTACATCACGACTAATGATGACCTTCTTAGTTAAAGGACTGTATAATCTGTAAGCTTTGGACTGATCACTAACACCAAGGAAAATGCACTTTTCCCCTTTGTCATCAAGCTTACTCATTTTCTGATCTGGCACATGTGCATATGCTATGCACCCAAAAATTCTGAAGTAATCAATAGCAGGTCTACGTCCACTCCAAGCCTCTTCTGGCATCAAATCTGGAAGTGGAGATGTGGGACTTCTATTCAAGATATGAACACTCCAATTAACAGCTTCTGGCCAAAACTCCTTAGGCAAGCTGCTCTTTGACATCAAACTTCGCACCATATTCATGATTGTGCGATTCCTCCTCTCACATACACCATTTTGCTGAGGTGTATAAGTTGTTGTGAGTTGCCTTTTAAAGCCATTGGACTCACAAAAATCTGAAAATTCCTTTGAATTAAACTCACCACCACGATCTGTACGCAGAACCTTTATAGATCTGCCAACCTCATTCTCAACCAAGACTTTGAAATTTTTAAAGGTTGCTAAGGCTTCTGACTTGGTCTACAAAAAATGCACCCATGTTTTGTGACTGCAATATCAACAAAGGTAATAAAGTATTGTTTACCTCCATTGGATGTTGGATTTATGGGTCCACACAAATCAGAATGAACCAGATCTAGCACCTGCTTTGCTCTCCAAGATCTGTCTTTAGGAAAGCTGTCACGGTGTTGTTTACTGACCATGCAGATTTCACAAATTTCTGAAGGAGAATCAAAATGAGAAAGACCATTTACCATCTTCTTCTGCTGCAAAGCTTTCAACCCACCAAAATAAAGATGTCCAAATCGACAATGCCATAACCAAGCTGTGTCTTTTAATTTGGCAGATAAACGTGACAGATTTGTGGTCTACAAGTATAATGGAAACAACCTATTTCCCGTCATCTTGACCTTTACAATCAGGCCAAGTTTTGAATCACGAATTTGGCAAACTCTATCTTTAATAAGGATTTCATATCCTTTTTCCTGAAACTGTCCTAGACTAAGCAGATTCGACTTCAAATCTAGTACATACAGAACATTAGAAATAGTCTAAATTGAATTGTCTTTGGCACGAATGGTTACCTTTCCCCTTCCCTTGATTGCAATAGTGGAATTATCACCAAATTTCACCTTGTCTTGACAAGACTCATCCAAATCTGAAAACGCAGATTTGTCTTTACACATGTGATTGTTGCAACCAGTATCCATATACCACACATTCTTCTTGCTGACTTCTTTAGGATGACAGGCCATGAATAGAAAGGATTCGTCATTCTTCTCATTGTGTTTTGCAAAATTGGAACTTTCTCCTCTATTCAGATTAGCACGACACCCAGAATGATAATGGTCATACTTATGACATTTGAAGCATTCAATATTTGCCTTTCCTGCATATTTGGATCTGTTATCTACAGCTTGATAATTCCTGTTCTGCCACCTCTTCTAAATTCCAATGGCTGAACTTTCCTCCAATCTGTCAGATCTCAATTTGACAGATCTTGGTCGGCCTTTCTAGATTTCTTTTCCTCGACCTATAGCCCTTGAATTAACTATGGTCTGCAAGGCTTATGTCTGCGAAATCTGCACTGCTTGCTCTTGCTTGTCTTGGCGATTTATCTTCCGCTCATGAATTAACAATAAATTCTGCAACTCATCAAGGGAAAGGGCCTCAATATTATTTGACTCCTCAATTGAACAAACAACATAATTGAATTTTGTTGTCATAGACCGAAGGATTTTCTCAACTATAGCAACATCCTCCAGATTTTCACCATGGATCCTCATCTTGTTTGCAATAGCCATCGTCCTTGCAAAATAATCATCTACATATTCACTAATCTGCATCTACAAAACTTCGAATTCTGCCCGCAAAGCTTGGCACTGTTGTCGCTTTGCTCTTTCATTCACCTGGTACTTCTTCTTCATGGAATCCCAAATATTCTTGGAAGTAGACTTGTTAAGAATTATTTCCAAGATAGCACAATCTATGGCTTAGAACAAATAGTTCTTAGCCTTGAGATCCTTCAATTTTTCCTTCTTAATTTCTGCCCTCTATGCATCATTTGCACCTGCCACTGGTTCTAGAACTCCAACTTCAACAATAGTCCAATACTCTTTGGACCAGAGAAAATTCTCCATCAATATACTCCAATGGTCGTAGTGATGACCATCAAAACGAGGGATTGAGGGCTGAACATGATTTTCGAAAGCCATGGAATTTTTTGGGAATAGGCTCTGATACCAAATGTTAAAAAATCAAGGATTCCCGGAAAGAAGAAGATGGAATGAAAAACTGAATCTCATGTTAAACTGAAAATAATCTAGCCTTTAAATAGGCTTTACAAGATAATATTATCTAAAAAATAACTAACCAATCTTATCTAATCTAATTTAAATGATAACAACCTAAAACAAATAAATAACTTAAACTTCCTAAATTATAGAGATAATGGCTAAATAATAGGATCTAATTTCCAACATTCAGCACCTGCGTCACAAAGGCAGCATTCCAAGGCTGATCGGAGTGCATTGGCCACGTCGCAATCGGCACTCCCATGCTGATGCTCTCCATACACGAACCCCACCCGCAGTGACTCATGAAACCCCCAGTTGAAGGGTGCGCCAGAATTTCAGCCTGA